AATATATATATATATATATATATATATATATATATTGATATTTAAAAGAATTTGAAAATGTAAGTTAGTTACTGCAAATTAAATTTCTCGATAACTATAAAGTCTGCTTACTAGAAATTTTAGAAAAATAGTCAAGTTTTAATTAAAACTCTTGTATAATTGTATAATTGTATAATTGTAGTCATTATTACACTAACAACCGCGTAATACATACAAAAAAAAACTCACCTGGGGCGTCCAGATGGATGGCTGATGTGACGCTCTTGATGTGCTTTTACTCCTGGATCGCCAGATCTTTTTTGCCACCAGCCGACTACCGTGATGCACCACGCTACTCGAAGACTTGCTTTTCTGCATCGCTGTGCCACCTGCGGAATTGGCGGACGAGGACGTGAGTGCTGGCGAACCGGGTGCCGAATGTGGCTTATCCTTATGTGAATTGGAACCATGCAGGAGATGGGATAAAAAGGATTGATGATGATGGGGATGTTTAACGGGAGTGGAAGCCTCTTCAGAGCAGAGACCGGCGTCGATGCTGCTTCTGGAACTAGCATTTCTGCTGGCTGGTGGAGATGTCGTCGTGTCAGCGTCTGAGAAATTTTCAGACGCAATCTCTCCGGAAACGGAAGAGAATATCTCGCGATAATGCACAGCCCAATTATCCTCCGTCTGGCAGCCTTTACTATTACCGTCGTCGTCGCCAGGCTTAGTAATCTCGCCCTTGGCTTTAATGTTACGTAAATTCCGATCGTAGTTAACCCGCTTGAATCGATCAACTTTATCCGCGTCCATGGACTTCTTCCGCGCCATCCTCAGATACCTCTTAATGGTGTCACTCACAGATGGTGAGACATCATCATTGTCGACGCTACTGCGTCTTCGTCCACTGGATTTTTGTGACATTTGCTCCTTTTGTAAAGATTCTTCCTTTTCTTTTTCCAATAGATACATATCGAGAACGTCTTGAAGAATAGGATCAGTTTGCGCACCATTATCGAGAAAGCTTCGATCAGTGCTAGGTTCCTGGACAGCAATTAGAGGCGGTGGTGAAATCGGGTCTCTTCTGGGTGATCGATTACTCGATTTCGTGGCAGGTGCTCTACTTCTCTCGTGAGCCCACCACTGAGCGGACGGCGAAGTATACGCACCGGTTGCTCGGGGTCCTCTGAACCCTCTGGTGCATCTTAGATCGAAATACAGCTTTTCGAGGAGTTTTCGATCTGTTAAAATATCAGAAATAACATGTTCTCGAGAAGACGATTTGCTATAGTAACGACTCAGTGTCTCCATAAGCGATTTATGAACATAGTCACCCTGATAAGGCAACATGGAAGTCGGAATCACATCCTTTTCGCTGTAGGTACTCTCACTAGGAGAAACCTCCTCGCGCTTAGCCCGAACGACAATCGTATTTAGATGTCGTTGCAGCTTATCTATCAAGCTACGATAATCGAAGGACTCTGTCCCTTCCACTTGTTTGGTCATTCCCGACGACTTGACGGTCATCCTCGCCGGATCGGCCGTGTCACCTTGCATATTCAGGTACTTTTGTAGCATGTCAGCCAACTCCTTAACCTCAGTGTCTTCTTGAGATATTGTTATCTTACGATGCGTTACCGGACTCGATGGCGTACTGCCGCCACCTTCACCATTATCACCTGATGACAGTAGCCATTCTCTCTTCGCCTTTGTCAGATCAAACTTGCCGGACGTGCTCGCACTAAGGATGAAACTCTGCGGCGAGCTCCTGGCATCGTCAGCTTCATCGGCTGAGCTAGCTTGGGTTCGACAACTGCCGCTCTTGATCTGTCTACGATGTCGCTGAGTACGAAAGCCCAGACTTCCAGGATACGAGGCCTTTCTCCAAAGTAGAAAGCGCGGCTCTTTCTGACACACCTCCTGAAAGTATTGCTCGATTTTTGGTATGTCCTCTGGGCGATTGTGAGTACCATCGGGAATGAGACGTCGGCCAGCATCGGCCATGTATCGCCACGTCTTCCTGGTGAGCAGCCATCGCTCCTTGACGGGCTTCCCGGTTCTTTTGGTCCTGCGATCTCTGGACGTAGGCGGTGTCCCGCGTATCGAACTCGCGGTGTCTGTACTATCGCGACGTGAGCGTCTCCTCCCGCCACCGGGACGCTCTGCCATTGTCGCGTCCTTGTCCCGTCTTGCCACGCGAACCACCTTCGCCGAATTTTGTCTTCCCCGATGTCGTGCGTGATAGGACGATTCGCGTCCTACAACCGTCCACCACCTCGTTGAACTTAGTTACTCTACCATGCCAGATGTGGTATATGCGTACTTCTTTTTCTCTTCTCTCTCGTAATGACTCGTGATCACGTCACGTTTGACCAAAGAGTATATCGAGCGAAACAAATACGTTTTGTATGGGACAAATGTCTACCATTGTACTTTGACACTTTATCATTGAAAGAACATTGCGAAAAATGAAAATTGATCTAACCGGAACGATAATACGATTATTTTACAATACACAATAATATCACTATTGTACGAGCACTAGGCAACTGAATGCCAAGCGCAATTGATTGCAACAAGGAAAATTGGAAATAAGAAAAAACTATTTATTCCTATTACGCAATTCAAACAACAATTTCCATGCTTAAGTACTTCTAAAGCTAGCTAAAGTACTTCTGTACTTCTATATAATAAATCTTCTAGAGAGGATAAACTCCAAAAAGACACTCCAACAATTTTTCACTGTTGTGCGGCTTACGAAACCGCCTCTCCGAAGTTTTACGGGAAATGGTGTGTAAAGCGATACGACGACAACGTTCCGATATTCGCTTGGAATCGTCGGAATCGCGAACGCTACTAGTTGCGAGCCGGCAAGGTGGAAGCTGCCTAAGATACGCGACTACTGCTTCTCAAGGCGTCGCGACGTTCGTGGACGCTCCGTGTCTAAAAGCGTCTTTACCTCTTCTCCCCGCTTACGTTCGTGGACGCTCCGTTCGCGTGCGGAAACGCGAGCGGACAAGCGGCGAACGTAAAGCCGTAAAAAAAATTGTCTTCACCTATGCGATTGGTCAACTCCCTTTGCATCCGAGATCTCGGACCGATTTCTAACATCGTGAACACAAGGCTTAAGGAGGATAGACGTTTCACAGACGATGACGGCGGACTAGATCGAGAAAGAGTTATAGAGAGATACAGAGATTGCTATAGCAACCTCTAAAATACCTGGGCCTGTCGCAGACTAACCGGAAATATAACGTCGATGTGTCGTCATGCTTTGCCAAATACCAGTACGGCGCTTTCTGGCGAAGTACCATCCGCTGGCGTAGCCGTTAATGTTCTTCGTTGAAACGACGCTGAATTTAACAAGTGTGACGATATATCGCATTTCGTCATCATAATATCGAATAAGAATCACAAAATCATGTCAAATCATGGAGATTAATGTCCATGAATAAATCGAAAAGAGTGATAATCAAAACAAATAAGTATCACTTTTATCTTATAAGATCTTATAAGATTAAAAGAAAAGGCAATAAGAAATTAGGTAGAAATATTTGCGGTATCAAGATGAATTGAAATGTTATCAAATTAATTTTTTCATTTTAATATAATTTTATAAGATAATTTATATAATATAAATATTCAATATTTATTAGACGATATTAGATAATATTAGATGTAATTGAAGAATTGTTTTTCCAATTATTTTGAAGTTTGCCTTATTTTGACATTAATATTATTAAATACTCAGTAAACTCAAAAAATAAACGTAATTGTAATTTTATTAAATTAAACATTTAATTATATCATTCGAATATATGAGAGCTATTTAATATTTCTGTTAACTTATAAGAGATATAATGTTAGAGAAGAAAAAAAAAAGAAAAAGATATGACTCTACAATAAATTGACAAAAATTAATAAGCAAATACAATAATGCATCAATGGACTAGTTTACAAAAAAATGTTTAAATAAT